GATTCTCACGACTACTCATCTTACAGAAAGGCCGCTGAGGGCAACAGCACGCCGCTGTCATGACAGCGCGCCGTAGCCATTGATTTTTTGTCATAGCTAATTGGTCCCCTGTCGCTGACGCCTGCTCATGCAGCGGGCTGAATAACTACCCCGCAGCCTTTTGTAAGAGTGCCTTGTAGTGACTGGCTTGACTTGTACTGTGTCAAAACATTTCTCCTCTTAACCGACTGACTTCTCTTGTTCTCTCGTGCGGGCGTTCGGGGTAACAGCTGGCTGGCTTAGCGTTTGTGTTTGGCTGTCCCACGGGCAACCAAGACTGGCGATCACATGATCTCATGCCGGGCATGTCGCCGGAGGGGCAGTCACTTTAAATACTCCCTTCCCAGACTGTAGTTCGAGCGATAAAAGAATCTGAACAAAAGGAGAGTCGTTAAATATGGTGAATGAGGTACATACCAACGATGGAGTTTTGAACAGCGTGGGCATCCGTGACTAGTATAAGTGAGCCACGATAGAATAGTGATTTTGGCCGGCATGAGTGCTCAACGTTGGTTGAGTTGAACTTGATAGCAAATCAATGTGCCGTGTCAGTTTTGGTTGAGTAGAATGAGGAGAGATAGCGTTGGTAGAAGTAAGAGTAGAGGTTGGGAAGAAGGGTTGGATGTTGGCACTCATAGGAGGACTCCTCTGTTGGATTGGGAAAGAACCATGGCCTGGGATCGATGGGCTGAATGTGACTGATGATCTCCATCTCGCTATGCGACAGGATGCCGGTTAAGAAATTATTCATATCGGGGTCTCAGAAAATGATACCAGAAAATTAAGTTGAAGTTGAGGGATGTTTAATGATGATTTAGCTCAGACGTATCTGGAAATTGCGAGTTCAGATCACGTTGGGAATTCACCACTATCGCAGGGTTTGAGCTAGTAGTTAAAGCCCTTCCCGCTGCGATCTTCAGACTCTGGTCCCGCGTGGGAAGAAAGGATGTGGGAGGCCAGAGTGGGAGGAATATTTTATTCTGTACAGAAGGACAGCAGATCAGGTTGGAAGGAATTGACAATCGGATAAGCCTGCGTCCGGCCGTGAGGCCTGTATTTGCGGGTTGAGGGAATGGGGCCGTCACAAACGCCTACAAGGTAGCCTTCGTGTGAGTCAGCTTCAGGGAGAGGATTGGCCAGACCGGAACAGGGTGGCATAGTGCGCATGTGCGCCCAATCGTGAGAGGCCAAAGATTGAGTGTTGGTGTGTGTGCAGGTTAGCCAGCATGGGGATCGAGCG